GTCACCACAAGTCAGACCTGCTGCATGGCTATGGAGCTAAATTGGTGCCACGAAGATTGTTGAAAAGGAAAAAAATGAAACTGAACATTGAATGTGAAAAGTAGTTTCAGTTTTTTTCAGTTTCAAATTTTTATTTTCAGCTTCACACTTTTTTCAGTTTCAAATATTTTTTTCGGTTTCAAACTTTATTTTCAGTTTCAAGCTATTTCCATTTTTTCATCAAATTATCTGCAGGACTTTGACACAATAGTGTATGAATTGATTTTTTTTTAAAAAGACAAAAATTTTTGCTAATTCTATCGTAGCTATTTTCTGGTTGAAACTTATTTTTCTTATAAGTTTACAAATTTCTTCTATAGGTCTAGGACTTTCTAACACATGTAGAAACTCTGTATTACTTTTCCCAGGTATGTTATGATGAATGTTTGTGAAATATTTCTGCAAACATCCGCCATGACGCCTGTGTTTTTCCATCGTTTGTTGACGTCTATCACCTGGCGGAGAGGACAGGATGTAGAATCCATCACCAGGCAGTAAACTGTCCATTCAGCAGCTTGTTTACATGCCGCCATGATCAGACGGTGTTTTTCTGTGACTCGGACCTTGAAAAGTCAAAGTCGGACTCTTTCTTCCCCTCTGGCTTCAGCCAATGGCTGCAGCCGACAGGGAAAACAGAAACCATCCTGTCTGCACTCAAAGGAAACAATTATCGACTTACCATTTATTTTTCTTTTAAATTGCCGCAATGTAAATGTGTTTTGTTAATTGAAAGCAAAAACACTGTTTTTACTCTTGAGCGGTTTTACTTTCACTAGAGTAAAATATGCTGACGTAGTGCTGCTCTTACTAGACTACAGTTTTTGGTACTCTGTCCACCTTTGTACATTAATAACTTAATAATTTGTTTTCCATTAACTGATATGTCTAATTCAACACATTTTTTCTAGTTATGTTAACTAAATTTTAGTTCCACAGAAATTAAGTAGGTTTAAAGTAATTTTGTCTTCTTCATTTTACACCAGAAATCTTAAACATAACATTCTTTAAGTCAACAGTCACAACAATTTGTGAAACACAAAACCCACAAGCTTGAAACTGTTCAAAATGGCTGATGCAGCTCAACCCTCATCAACAAATCTTTCAAATTCATCACTGCTGAGAGCGGCGGCTGTTCTCCAATCCAAGAAAGGAGGGAAATGTGACTCCAAAGAAGCTTCATGAAATATTAACGAGAGCTGGTCGACGCTGTCGGCTCGAGACACCGACAGCACTCGAATGCAACACGCTCCCCTTGATCAGCACTCGAATGCAACACGCTCCCCTTGATCAGGACTCGAATGCAACACGCTCCCCTTGATCAGGACTCGAATGCAACACGCTCCCCTTGATCAGGACTCGAATGCAACACGCTCCCCTTGATTTACTCAGATCAACAAAGAAGAAGAAAAACAAACTGTGGCTGAAAACTTCACTTTCTTTTGAGAAAAGTGAGCAAAAATCTTTCTTTACAGTTTTTTTTTGTGGTAGCTGATCAGAAATAAACTGGTTGTGTGTACAAAGTCTCAAAGCCGCGGTACGTATCCGGCATAAATTGATTATTTTACACATTTTTGAAACCGTCATCAAGTCATGGCAGTAGGAGATGAGACAGATAATCTGTGAAAAAACTGCAAGTCTACCATCTCACAGTGCTAATTAGAAACAACCAATCAGAGCCAGGAGGCGGGTCCTAACGCTGTCAATCACCTCCCCCCATTTCTCTCTGCTACACTAGAGTGTATTCCTGATAGCATAGCATGTCTGATGCTAATGCTATTAGCATAGCCCCCAATAACAGACAATAAACAGTTTTCTAGAAAAGTTGTTTCTCCACCATTTTCATGTTTAACAGCAAATACATAGAATGATTGACAGCGCTAAGACCCTCCTCCTGGCTGTGATTGGTTGCTTTCGCATTTCTTCAATAATTTAGGATTTAAAAACATTTAATCTGAGTAACAGATTCACGTGAAAATATATAACTTATTGTCTAAAAAGTTCTAGAAAATAAATGTGATTTATACAATTTTTTATTATTATCATCAGATTGTTGAGTTTTTGTCTATAAATATATTCCATTTCTCTCAAACACTCCTAAACTAAAGACAGAGGATCAGACCATTTTCTATGAAGAAACTTTTTATTTATATTTTCCCCATTGAATAAATGCACCCAAGTTAAAAGTTGGATTTGTCTATTTTCTTTAGATTGTGCTACTGCATGTCTAAAACTACAAAACACTTATTAGTGCCAGATTGTAAAAGTTTGTTCAACCTGAATAAATCTAATGATGTTCCAGTTTGATGCACATTAATGATATTAAATAAAGGATCATGGGACTCGGCTGAACAAACACAGCGGCTCATGTCTGATCCCTTCATTCGCTGTTAAACTGCTGCTGCCCCAGAAAGGCTGAAACCCTGAAAAACATCCAGGGTCAGATAAATAACCTGCTTTTTTATGGTGAAAACATAAATGTGCAGCTCTGTTAGGAGCAGCGCATGAGACGGGACAAACTGAGCAAACGAAAATCAATCTGACTGCTCCTCCTCTGTGTGATTAAATATTTGTGCAGGGGTTAATATTTCAGCACGCCCGTTTAGTGTCATGTTGCGCCAAGCCTGGAGAGTAAAACCATAAATGAAAACACGGGACGAGACGAGCAACACGTGTTGGACTCACCAATCCAACTTTTTTCACTTCCCATACAGAAAAACGGCTCTGAGTTGACGTTAAATGTTTTTAAAACACATGCAGGTATTTGATAACTCTGGACCACTAAATACACCAATAATTTCACTAACTCCTTCAGACTAGCGGCAGCAGCAATTGGCAAACGTGTGTGTCTGCTGAGCTCATTATAAAAGTTACTTCTCAGTTGATAAGAGCAGTTGTAATCGGCATCATGGAGAAGCATTGCTTTGGAAAGACTACTAGCCTCTTCAAGAGACAGAGGCCAAATTCAAGGCATCAAACAGTGAAATCAAATTTCTGTTAAGATTTGTTTGATACATGCAGCATGTTTATAACAACTGAAGGTAACATCGCTACTTTGTGCCTGTGTGCCTGGAAAATACAAAGCACCGGCCCAACCAGTTAGACTGAAGAAAATAACCAAATACTAAAAGCTTGTTCATGGTTCATTTGCAACTTTAAAAAATATATTTCACCAATATTTGTTAGGGTGTGAATATACATCTGTGTACATCTGAGGAATTTCACAAGTTGTCATTTCAACCTGAATTTATTCCTCAAAAGTTTAACATTTATTGATGCAGATGATGACTCAATGAGTCAAACTATAAACCTTTATAAGAAAAATCTCTCTACTTGAGTAAATTTTCTTGATATATTTGACAGCACTGAGTTTAAAGCAGAACCTAAGTGTTGAAGCGGTAAATAGCTGGTTACGTTGTCTGTGTGGGTTTCCACTGGCGCGGCGCAGCAGTTGTGCAGGACGAGACCTTTTGGTCGGTTAAACATTCATCCTGCTGGGTCACAAAGAGAAAGGAGGCCAGCAGCACCAGGCCCTGCGCTGCCGACCGGGACCAAGTCAGGCTGCACGGGTTAATACGTCAACATCAGCAAAAGTTACACTAAAGTCCTGAATGAAATGCAGATTTACAGTTATGTCAAGTTGCACTTCATCTTTACTGTATCAAATTAACTTACATCCTGGTAACTGTATGTCTCTGCAGACACGTTACAACCCGGAGATTTCACGCATGTGCACAACGCAGGAGGTAAAAACAGACAATTTTTTTACTTGCCGTTCACAGCCACGGTAAAACAAACCGGTCAACAAAATTAAACATAAAAATGTTTAATTTTGCTCCAATATTAGACCTTTAAGCCTGGAAATGTTAGCAGAAGCACTCCTCAATTAAACCTTCAGCTCAGTGGTAAGCTGGTGGCCATCTTTGTTGGAGCCAACAGAGTGTAATGCTAACCAACCAATAAGCAGAAGAGGCACTGCCCTCCTCATTTGCATAATGAGGAAGAAATTCATAGAGAAATGTAACAGTAGAAAAGAAGAGAAAATGGCAAAAGAACAAACGCTTGTAAAAGGAAAAAGCAAATAACTAATTCTTGACAGAAACACATGTAACTATATTAATAGTTGTATATTTATACAAAATGTGTTCTTGTAATGTATTTTTCTGACTGTTCTTGTGTTCTTCTGTATCTGTATGCTAATGCTAATATCGCCTGCTTGTCAGGTTAAATAAATGCAGACACCTTGTGGTTTGTCCCATCACAACACAAACCAGACGTCCATCGGTCACATAAGAAAAAGGAAAATCAATAAAAATGTATTCCTGATTTTATTTTTAATTATGTCAGTCTCGGTTCTCCATACAGCAATTCATCAGTAGCGCAAAAACTGGGTGTCTATTTATGCGGGCGCCATGCTAGAGGGGGCGCCACATTGTGGGGGAAACATATTTCTATATTTCTGTTTTTATTCATTGAACCCCCCGGGGGGCCTGTAAAGTGGCTAGCTGCGCCCCTGCTGCTCCTGACACTTCCGTGCCGCATAGTGTGCATCCCATTAGGAGCAGCTGTCCCAGCAGAACCATCACACCAGCAAACACCCGCACTGGAAACCATAATCAATACCGACCAGTCCTGATAGACTCAGGAAGACTCCAAGGTTAAGCATTTGAGTCCGGAGTGCGGCAGAGTGAGTCGCATTTCCACGACGTGGGTTTGTGTGCGTGTGTGTGCGTGTGTGTGTGTGTGTGTGTGTGTGTGTGTGTCTACACTGCAGCAGCGGGGCTGCTGTCCCACTGCCACTGAATAAAACACGCACCGATCTCCTAAAGTACACAAACTGGAACAAACCCACTGAAATGATGAGGAAGACTCACTTTGAATGACGCCATCATGACTTAAATTCAGCCAATAGAGGAGAAGAAATAATCCTATAAATAATAAAATCCCGCATCAGAGCAGATTACCTCGGCGTGTTGGTAATCCAGCTTTAGACTCACTTCACGAGCCCCGCAGGCAACGTCCCGACTGTCCGCGTCCTGCGTGACCACCGTGGCGCATCACGGAGCCTCCGTCCCGGCCGGCCCCGGGGGGCACGGCCCTTCAAAATAAAAGCTGTCCATCATGTCTGCTCACGGCTTGCCTTACAGCTGATAAAAATATAATAAAACACAAAACAATTAATAATATTAGTACTTTAAATAACAATGAAATACATAATATTAATAATAAATATTATTTAAAATTTTTATCTTATCTTATGTCTACAATTATATTTTTGAAGACGATATTTAATGATTATGTTTTTAAAAATGTTTAGAATTAAAAGAAGATAAATTATTGGATTGTTCATCTATTTTTCAAGTCTGGGGTCAAAGGTTAGATTTGGATTGTTGGAATAAAATTATTATTATTATTATTTAAAACAATAAATAGGAAATTGAATTAATTAAAACCCCTCACTGTAATATTTTTTGAAAGTACATCAGCTTTAGAACTTTTTTTTAAACTTAAACAGAAATTTTAATCGAACCGAATCAGTCTTATTTTGAAGGGTTCAGCCGGAAGTTCCTCCTGGAAGCCTGAATTTATATAAACCAGTAAGATAAATTATGATTTAAACTTTGATTCTGCAGACAGCTGAGTTTGTGGATGACAACCTCAGATGGAGCCCCCCTGCCAAGTACGGAAGCCCCCCTGCCAAGTACGGAAGGTTAGAGCGCCATCAAGTGGCCAAATTATAACACTGCAGCTTGGAGCAAAAAATGGGAATATTTCTACTTTTTTACTTTATTACCAATTATTACATAAAACCAAGGTGTTTCTTGTTTCTTATTTCATGCTCCAGTATGTAATACAACTAAAATATTTTCATTTTTCAGAATCACAAACATCAAGAAACCTTTTTTCCCCCCAAAATTGAGATTTTCCACTTTGGAAATGCAATCATGTAACTATCTGAACAAGTTAGTTATTACATGACAGTAATTATTCTCTCTTATATCAGAGAAATGAAAAACAAAGAAAGAACGAAGAGAAAAAAGTGAAAAGATTTGGAACAAAAACAGGAGCATCCAAGCAAATTACAGCCAGGTTAGATATAATTATACACGTCTAGTCATGGCTCTGCAGGTTCCAGCAAATCAAAACTCAAACAATCCCTCTGACAAGTCCATCAAGAAACTTTTACTCAAAATCATCATTAGTGATTTACAAAATTCCTTTCCACTGCAGTTAATATTGCACGAGTTTTATATGTTATAATATGTAGCTTTTGCATTTTACTGAAAAGAAAAAGTATCTTACAAGAGTTTTCAAATTTGGTTTGGACACCATTGAATTAAAGCAGAATTTGGTAGAAACAAGTTACATTTAGCTGAGTAGCTTTTGGGGAATAAAAAAGTTATTTTAATATGTTTGTACAACTTTTACTTCTGTGACTTTATTGTGAAATAGTCAGATGAATTTAAATTGCAGTAACCATAGAGGGCGCTATTGGACAGATTTAGAGCCAAAATTAAAGAAGTCAAGTCAAAACTGGGACAAAATATTAGAACCAATTGAGATAGAAAACATTTTACCAAATAACTCAGACATTTTGACATCTATCTCAGAAAGTTCAAGAAAAAAAAAATCTTAGGTTAATTCTAAACGTTTTTTCTCACAATTTTTTAGGTTTACAAGAAATTTCCTTGTTTGGTAAATTCAAAGCTTGAAAAGTTCAACATTTTGCTAGGAAAAAGCTGGAATTTTCCCAGTTTGAAAAGTTAAATTCAGAAATTTTCTAGAACAAATGGGAAATTTTGGAATTTCCAAAATTTAATATTCTGATATTCCATAGAAAAATAATATTTCTGACCTCTAAAAGTCAAAGATTTCCTAGGAAAAAAAAGAGAAATGTTGACATTATTCTCAAAAATCTTTGATAAAATTTTCTAGAATAAAAAAAATTTGATTTTGAAATTCAATTTCCAAGTTGCTCTAGAAATTTTCTGAGATTAATGCAAAAAGTTTTAATATATTTTTAGCAAATTTTCAAACAAACTGCCAAAGAGGAAAATTTCTTTCAAAGTTTGAAAATTTGCAAGGAGATTTCTGTCAAATTTCAAACACATGAAAGAAAAGACAGAAATTTTGAGGTTAATTTCAGAAATTCTTTGAAAAAAAAAAACTTAAGAAAAAAATGTCAGACTCATACATTTAAATTTTTTTTCTAAAAAAGGAGAAATGTCCTCCTTTTTGTCCTTTCTGCAGTACCGTAGGCAACAACAACACGCCGTCGTGAAACTCATCAGCCGACAGTCACTTTGGGAAACCTTTTATCAAGCACAACAATGCAAAGTTACACCATTTACACTCGACTGTGCAAACAACAGCAGGTCAGATAAAGTAAGAAACATCAAAACTCTGCTATTTTACTGCAGCACATCCAGTCTTCATACATAATTCTTACAGGCGTTTCTGTCGGAGACGGGTCTGTGGGTCCGACCCGACGCAGCCGAAGATTAAAATTTGCAACATTCAAATTATCTGCCTGGACTCCATGTTGGAGTTTCTATGGACTCTGATGCTTTTATGTGCAATAAAACACATGAAAAGTGTCTTAAACATCTTGAGCTCCTGCTGGACTCAATAAATTAAATATCCTTCCTGTGATGCCGGAACATGGACAGTAGATTTATGTGTGAACTTTAATTGGACTAATTTGGGGGCTTAAACATCTAGTGTGGCCCTAAAAATCTTATTTACAGTCATTATAATGTCAAATACACAAAAAACATTATAATGGAAACAATTTGCACTATTTTTTTCAGATCATAAAAGAAAAAACAAAAAGGCGCTGCTCGGGCCTAATTGTCCAGAACATCACGATCAGTTGCAGGGAGCCACCGGTTCTCCTCGGTACCAGTGGGTTCAGTCCGGCCGGGCCGCAAGCGGCCGGCCATCACCGGCGGCGGGGAACCGGCGGCGCCGCCTGCGTCTGTCTGGGCGCGGGTCGCTGAGGAAGAGCGCGCGTCGGGCAGGAAATGTAGCGCTCGTGCACCGTCTCCGGCGCCCTGCAGCACAGAAAACACAGAAATCCTGAAATTAATCCCAGAAAACTTCTAGGAAAAAACATGAGGACGTTTTGGAGTTTGGAAACTTTACATTTTCTAACATTTCTGAGGATAAACTGAAAGATTTATGAGTTTTTTTCTTTGTAATTTTAGACATTTTTTTGTTAGACATTTTATCCTTTGTGGCCTACGTAGTTTTGTTTTTCTTTTTTTTTTTACCCATCTGTTGCCATTTTTCATAAACAAACTGAATCACATCCTTTCACTGAACTCGTCTAAATAAACGCTTTTCGAAGAAAGTTCTCGTTTTTGTTGCAGGGAACAAACTAGACCCAAAATCCTCAGAAACTAAACAACTTCAATCTTTTATGGCAAAAATCTGATGCTGCTTTTAGACTTTGTTTGAAAAATCTTTTTTATTAGCATTATTACATATTATCTACTAAAAATCAGGTTTTAGAATAAATGTGATATATTTGGTTGAGTTATTGAATGTTTATTTTAATGCTGAGCAACAAAAAGGGGAAAAATTCACATTAAAATAGTTACAATTTCAACACAGAACAACTGTAATGTTGCTAATTATTATTGTTAAAATCCTAAATAGTAAATGTCCTGGTTCTGACTCTGGTCCATTAAAAGAAAAATTAAACTGCATAACCGTTTTATTTTGCCATTAGCTAGAAATTTGCATGTATTTAAACCAAGTTATTGTGATAAGCAACTATCTAGTAGTTTTTTCAAGTAACAAGAGGAAATTAAATTCAAAAAGACTTTATTGATCCCAAAGGGAAATTAAATGTTATTGTAACTCATATTAATTCAGATTCTTCAAGGAGTTTCTATACTAATACAAGAACATATTCTTAAAAGTAAATTCTAATGAACATTTAACATTTTAAATATCCAAAATAAATAAAGAAAACAACAAATAATGAATTATGAAGACTGAAATAAACAAACGGGTAGAAAGAGAAAAAAAATAAATCATGCAAATGGAAATGATGGAGTTTGTTTTATCACATAATTAATTGATTTATTGGTTGTTGCTGCGACAGAATTAGACGTTTCTGAGCTGCATCGTCGTTTTCTTCTCTGTTGAACAGAGGCTGTAAATAAATCAAACGCTTTATTCACCGAACGCAGCACTTTCCCATGTTACGGTTACACATCTATCAAACCACATGGCCTATTTTCAAACATTTAGTCTTCTCGGATTAGAAAAAAAAAAAGTAAAAGCGTCGCCCCGTCGAACTAAAAACAGCGTTGCTGATAAGATCTTGCAGTTCCACGAAGCTCGGATGAATCAGCCCAGCCAGATGAATTGCACCTTCATATCAGGTTTGGGGTTAAAGCAGCAGAGGTGTGACATTTAATGTCTGCTCTTCTTATTCCTGTCGTTCTGAAGTGTTGGGAAATTTTGCATCACGCTAATTAAAGGTCACAGGAAATTTAATCAGTAGATTTTCATTTCACAGATGTTTTTATTCTTTAAATGACGTGAATAATTTAGATTTTTCCTTCCCGAAAATGTTGGGAAATGTCGAATTCAGCCTTTAAATTTGGTGGAAGGACGACATTTTCTGGACCTCTGTCTAAAACTGTCACCTAAGTGTGAGAACGTGTCTCTGCCCTGTAGATATTTATAAGTTTGTACTTTTTTTTAATCACTTTCTCAGTCTTCCCCTCCAACTCACAGCTGCAGACTTGCTGAAGGGTGAACGCTTCCTCTTTATCACCAACCGACTCTCTGGTTCTTCTTCAGTGGCGCTTTCTGCCCCGAATTACGCCTCCTTACCTTTCTGGGATCCGCGGAGGAAGCCTGGGTGGAGGAATGCCTGGCGCTGGGTCGGAGGGTCGCGGAGGCCGAGGAGGAGGAGGAGGAAGAGTTTCTACTGCGTCCTTTAAAATGAAGGGGAAACATTAAATATATGAACCATTCGGGGAAAATAAAATCGGTCAGAGTACGTTTAACTTATCAGAAAGGACAAAAACTAGGAGTTACCAGATTCCATCATTATTTTTAAACATTTTCATCGTTGTTGCATAAGAATCTATGAAGAACTCTGTCACTTTAAATCCAAATAAGCTCTTACTGGCCACGCCCCCAAAACTCAACGTTTACACTCTCACCTCAAAATGGCTGCAAACAAATGTTCATACATCCATACATCTTTGAAAAGCATTAGTAGGGCTTCCAGTACAGCCAACAAGAATGCAGCAAGTGGTTTCTGGATGGTGAGTCAACAACAGAACCTTTGTCTTTTCCAGCAGCCATTGTACAGCGAATACAGTGACCTCAGTGCTTGCGTTGCTAGGTAACGTGCGGAACTCTGCTGGGGTTGCTAGGTAACGAGCGGAACTCTGCTGGGGTTGCTAGGTAACGAGCGGAACTCTGCTGGGGTTGCTAGGTAACGAGCGGAACTCTGCTGGGGTTGCTAGGTAAAGAGCTGTGATGTTAGATTTCAGAGGATTTTGAAACAGCCAAAAACCTTATTGCCAAAAATCTGGCCGCATTGCTTTCAGAAGCAGTAGAAACCAAAATGGAAGAACAAAACCAAAGTTTTGCTCTTCCATTTTCTAACCGACTTCTTCTATTTGAGGTCGGTTTTAAATATTTGCACAACTGTCAAAGGTTCTGATCATTTCTATTATCAGTATAAATAGAAACAATTAAACTTTCTTTTTCTTAAGACTCGGTGGCGCCGCTTTAAAAATCACTTTAAATTCCACAGATGGTTTTAGTGATGACCGGATTAACTGGACATTAATCCAGAGCTCAAACTTTGGGTCAGAACTTCCTCAAGCTGGCGTGTTGTGGTGGCGCAGGGGTTAGCACGCCACACGTTTGGAGGCCTCGGTTCTCCACGAGGACGCCGCGGGTTCGACTCCCGGCGACCTTTGCCGCCTGTCTTCCCCCCTCTCTTCGCCCTCTTTCCTGTCTGCCTACTGTCAAAAATACGAGCCACTAGCGCCGCAAAAACCCTTCAGAGAAAAAAATGATTAAAAAATAGAACTTCTTCAAGCTGAGAGTCAAAGTTCCCAAAACAGAACAAAAAATGAGAAAACAAAACTCCCACCGTTAAACAGCCACAGCTTTATGCTTCGTTAAATACAAAATGTTGAACTGCAGCGAACAAAGATTTCTCCGTCACGTTAAAAGCAGAAAGAATCAGTTGCTCTGAACCAGAACTTGTTCTCACTGCACAAGTTACACTGCAAAAACACAGAATCAGTTATTTTTGGGCTAGTTTTCAGATAAAAACAGATATGATCTGTTAAGGGGTTATGTGATTTTTTTTTCCACTGGCTTCACTCTGCACTGCAAAAACACAACATTCTTTTTTTGGTCTACTTTATAGTGCAAATATCGCTGCATGCTTAAAAACTAACTTAATTTACAAGTACAAGATATACAAGAAACAAGAACTTGTTTTCAGTCGATACATCCTTAATATTAATGACATTTCAAAAGACATTTTTTCCATGTTGTAAGTGAATAAACACTGAAACTTTTCATCAATATTAAGGAATTACTGAATATTTCTTGCTGAAACGTTACTAATAAGTTAGTTGTGTCTTATTTCCAGTGAACCAGAAACACTTGATGAGATTTTGTGTTTTTGCAGTGCACCAACACGAACTCGAGGTTCTGAGCTCACCTCGAAGTCCGGTTCTGTCCCACTGCTGAGGCTAAAGTTGCTGTGAGTGCTGAGTCTGTTGCTCTCTGTGCCTGAAGTGAAAGGAAAACAAGTTGGAGTAAAAAGGAAACACGTGATTGATAGTTTGTCTGAGGTGAGAAGCTGTGGTGAGTGACGGTGTTAGGCCACTCTGTACCGCTGCTGCTGCTGTGCATTAAAAACAACAGTTACTGTCAACATGAACAACATGAACATGTCAGGAGCAAATGTCTGAATGATTTTAACTCTGAAACCTTCTGCAAAGAAATCTCATTTAACTGTGTTTTAAGACCCAAAACGTCAGAATAAAATGTATCCTGAGGTTTATATTTATCAAAAATTATGTTATTTTCTCTTTAAAATTAAGGTTGACGTTATTATTCGAAGCTTTTTGATTCATTGACACAAAATATTGCAGTGCAAATCGGTCAAAGGTATTTTAGGAACAGGAAAAACAGGTCAACAGATCAGTTTTCTAATCTTTCTGAGCTATTTCATAAACTAAACGTGTGAAAATAGAACCATGTTCTGCTTTTCCTTATGACCCGATACTGAAAGTGCAAACCGAGAGCAGGAGTAGCAACAAAAAGCCTTCAAAAGGTTTATTATGTTCACAGCAAATACAACAATAAAACCAGCTGGACAGACAGCAGGGGTTGCTAGGCAACGGGAGGAACTGTGCCGGGGTTGCTAGGTAACACAGCAGAAACAACTAATTTCCAAGACGCCAAAACAAGTTGTTACCAAAAAATACCAGCAGAGTCTCATCTTTAGACTGTTGGGCTTTTTTAAAGCAGTATAAACCAGAATGGAAGAATAAAAAAATCCAAAATGTGAATTTTAACATTTTTTCCCACTGCATGCAAACAAAAAATTTGTTTTTATTTAATCTTTTTTTTTTTTTGATATTATGCTTCTGCAAAAAAAGACTAATTTACTTTATGGTGTTTCCACATCTTCGCTAGATATACCCAAATACTTCTTAAAATCATAAACAGTACTTGTTATTTACATCAATTAGTATTTTGTAATCCAAATGTCCACTTTTGGAGAGAGTAAGCCTATAAATATAGAAATTATTTCTCATTTATTCTTTTGGAAACTATTTTCCTTTTTCTCCCATCCAGATGGAGGCACCATGAACACATCGCTCCTCGCCACAGGAGAAGCGCTTTTCTGACTGGGTTTCTCTGGATTCAATAAAAATATAATAACCAAAGACTCACTCGATGTGCTGGACGTACTGCCGGTCTTCCAGCTCCCTCTTTTGATTGGCTGAGCCGTCGGAGGGGGCGGAGCCACCATTCTGGGTGTCGGTTCATACACGCCGCACTCCAATGTCACGTTGGATCCCCAGTAGAGGTTCCTCTGCAGCGGCGCACTTATTTCATAATCTGGCAGAGACAAAGCAGACCACATCAGACTCTGGGAGCTCAACAGGAAGTCATGTGAGCGCGGCGCATCATCAGATAGAAACACAACAAGATGTCGACATGTCAACTCCAAACACCTCACCGATTTCCTGCCCCGTCTTCTCCCTCTCTTTGTGGCGCCTCGTGATGCTATCTCGTAGTTTCTTCAGGTTGTCCTTTAAGGAAGAAGAAATAAATGATGTGAGGTTTATGGCGCCGCTGCCAGACGAGGATGTTTGTTGATCATCTACCTGCTGATAGCGCAGAGAGTTAGCGCGCCGCTCGTGGTCGAACTGCCACGCTTTGAACTCCTGGACGGCCTCGTCCACCGTTATCTCCCCCACTTTGACCCTCTCCTGCAGGCAGATGAGCTGCCGCTGCCCCAGGGTCTTCATCCCGCCATAGGGGTCATAGGTCGAGGAGGGAGCCTCGCTCACAGGGCGAGCTGGAAAAAAGGAAAGTGGGATGAATATTTTATTTTTACCCATATTTCACTGAAGTTTAGAGAAGAGAAGCTCTCAGCCGTATTAATGTCTGAAGGAAGTCATTCGTGGGAAGGAGATATGGTTGTAAACTTTACCCTGACCACAGAGCTAATAGCAACGACTGATGGGTTTATTTGACCAAGCTGGTAACATAGACACTCGCATGTCTCACAGCAGAAACACCACAAAGGTTTAGATACGTTTGCTCGGCTCCATAGGCTCAGGTTGTGTTCGCAGCCGCAGAAAATAAATCAACATTCTCTTTCATTTTCCTAACAACAAATGTCAGAAAATGCTGCTAAAGTGTGAGTCTCTTTTCAAGATCTGATCATTTACTCCAGGAAGAATTAGACTAAATTATGAAGTGAAAAATTTATTCACTGTATGATAAATTAAAATGCACTCAGTAATTTCCATTTGTGTGGTCTATTGTTTTTTTTTCTTTTCTCTCTTTCTACTAAATAAATTTTCTCTGCTTTGTAACGACGGATTCTAATCAACTCTATTTAAATATTGAAAAAGTACTAAAATTGAAGCTGAATTACCACTGTAGTCTTGAGACATATAATGATTTACAATGTAAGCCGACAATACAACAAAAGCACATTAAATATTATTTCAAAGCTACAAAAGTGGCATTTTTTCCTCAATGTTGAATCATGCAACTCTGAGAAAAGCCACAAAAGCTGCATTTCATTTTCCATGGTCTTAAATAAGCATGTTCAGAGTCAAAGTTCACAACAGGACTGAGTAAAGCCTGAAAAAGCTGAGACTGGTGGCCATGATGCAACACATCAGCAAAACACAAAACAAACAAAACCACAGTAAAAATCTGACTTTTGAATTGTTCCTTCTGGGAAGGGGGAAATTCCAGGTGTCAAAGTCACAAGATATTTATGATTAAAGTTCCATAAAGAAATACCTGAGTTTGCAAAAATCACAAATTATTGTTTCTGAATTACATTCTAGAGAAACAAAAAGTGTGTTTTATTCACACTGTTTTATGCAAAGTGGAGACTTTTAGCTAAAAAAACCAACTCTTCGTAAAAGATAATCAGGTAATGTTTAGATATATACATAAAAAACAACCTGAGACGGACCGGACCTTTCTACACCCCAGAGTAACTTTATGTAAATTCAAAAGCAAGCAGGCATCAGACAAGAGGAGTCAATAAAAAAGCTCTTTAAACATTTTTAAAGGGCTCAGAAGTGTGTTGCTGCTTCTCACGAGACTAAAAATGTCCAATAGAAACTGTCTCACCTGCAGGACATCCACTGTCCACCGAGTTACGTTTGGACATGTCACTTTCTGAAAACACTGTAGACAAAAAACACAAATATTTAATGGAACTAATAATTTTAAATCAGAAGAAATTAACAAAAAGGGTTTACACAGGGCTGGCCAAAACCTTTCTGAGGCCCTGGGCAGATTTTTATTTGTGGCCCCCATACCAACAACAGATAGTTTATCACTGTGTGTGTAACATGCATACTATCATTAGCATCATTTGCAATTAGCTTACATAATACTAATGTTATTATGGTTATTGATTTTAACCTTACGGGAGTTACAAACTAAAGAATATATTTAGAATTTGAAATCTCAAATTGTAGCAGTGGCAGCTGTAGTGTCACCTCTCATGTCCGCTGCCATGTTGTTTTCTTTCAGAATAAACGTATTCATGTTCAATATTCAACCTGCCTCAGAAGCCGTGACACTGGGAGGCTGTGGCAGTTTCCTGCAGCCAGAAGTGGCACGATTTGAGCTTCTTGTCCCTCCACAGGACGTGATTAACGGTAATTTGTGTAACAACTATAAAAACAATGTAGAAATGCTTTCTCCACGTGTAATAGCATTTAGTTGATATTAGTCAATGTCATGTATGTTTAATCATGCTAGCTTAGTGCTCTGGAAGCACTAAGCTTCCAAAATACAGCAGACCTCTGGAAATGTAGGTTGCGGGTCTTTCAGGTTCGGGCTCAGCCTCAGGCCTGGGGATGGGGGCCGGAGGGCGGTTCTGGATTCCCGCGTTGTAGGTGCTGTTTGTATCCACGGTGTCATAAATATCCTCTGGACAGATGTTGTACGGATCCTCCTCCTCCTCTATTTCATCAAAGTCATTGTGTTCGTTCCTGTCATTGCTCTCATCTTGAGACGGCGAGGCGCTCACTTGGTTCTCGGTGGCGTGAGGTTTCGCTGCCAGGCAGGAAAATCAAGTGCATTCAGAAATAAGGTTATTATACTGAAGAAAAACTAACAAAGTAATGAAAACTGAAGATATGAAATTTCAATAAGGAATCAAAAAAAAGTTGGATATTTGATCAATAAAATTATTATACTGCTTTTCAAATTTTACATTACATACAAAATCTGTACTAACTGAAAAAACTATGGAAAATAAGTTATTATTTTGTAAATCTTTAATAAACTTTTGATGCAGAACCGACAATCAAACTTTTCTCAATTAAATCAGAATTTAATTTGCTATTAACCCCAGATTTTATTTTATTTGTATTTTGAAGACTTGATTTTATTGTTTTTTTTTTTTGCCTATCGTATTTTTTCTGTTAATAGTAGTTACACCGTTGTTATACTTTGTTCATACTACTTTTAGGAGGATTATTAAAACTATATTAGCTATAAAGAATTAAATAACTGAACAATAATTGAATACATTTTTGGGAATGGTATCTTCTGTATGAAGAAGATAGTCACAGAACAGTCACAATACTTAAACTTTTTAATTTGCACCTAAAATTGACATAATATATGAACAAACTAATACTATTATTGTAATTATTAAAAACCAGACTAAAACTATACAATATTTAACTAATAAAAACTAAGAAAACTATCAAACACACTCTAAATACAAATTAAAACTAACTGAATTGGACAAACAAAAAGTGACGACATAAAAATAAACTATAACAAATGCCCCAACTATTATCAGAAGTAATCATTCGTATTACTATATGATGTAAATTAAATAGATATAAATACCCTGGAAGAACTTCCTGAGCATAGCTTCTTCTGGATTCTCATCTACTCCAGTCATGACTTCGTCTGCAACAATTGTGTCACATCATCAGCCTCATTTTGTAAGAGCTTGGAGTATTTTTTATCACAGAGCTGATCTTACATAAGTCTTCTGCACACTCAGGGTCGAGGCCGAGCATCGACTCATAAATATCCTCAGTGCAGCTGGAGTACTTCATCATGATGTCCCGAGTAGAATTTGACATCGGCTCGTAGATCTCCGCCTCATCGTCCAAGTTCAAGTTATCTTCCAGGTGAGACTGGAGCAGGTCTGCTGTTTCCTGAGAGGGTTGCAACGAGACTTTTAAACTCTAATTATAAATGTTTCATTTTAAAAAATCTATCTAGGGATGAAAACGATTAATATACTTATTTATTAAAATAAAATGAGTTCCAATCGCCTGCTCAAACCTTCTTTTATTGGTGCAGTTTGGCTGCCACCCAACAGAGGGCGCTGCTGGGCAGCGCAACTGGTAATACAGAATCTAAGATGGCGGCGGTATCCCTTAAAAAAAAAAAAACGGTCCAAAGAGAGTCTGGTGCGGGATGCTAAAAGGATCCCATTCGGTTCTGTTTTGAAATATAAACACTTGATATGTTTATATTCTTAACATATAAACAATATATTATCTTAATATCGCCGATTCAGCCGAGCTGCAAGACGGAGCAGCGCTACTTCTCAACTAAAAATGACAATGTGCAACGAACGCGAGGATGTGAGTAAACCACAATTTCCTGTTTATTTAGTCCGCATTTAATACAGCCGACACAAAATAAAGTTAAAATTGAATTATGTTTTTGGTTAAATTCAATATATCAAGAAAAAATAGCCATTTGTGTCATGTAAAGACGGTCAGCCCTGTAGATAAAAGGGAAAACTCGTGTTTTTAAGAAATTGGCCGCCTAAAACTTGATCACTAATCGATCAATAAGAGCAATAAACTTCAGATGAACTCATTAATCGATTCATGAGTGAACGTACCACAAATTCGTCCATAAAACGTCTGAGGTCCTGAAAGCCGCTCTTCTCTGCCAGTGTGTTTGGGTAGTCGCCATGTTTGTTCATCACACTGTAAGCCTGCATTGCCCCGGGGCACCGCAGGAGGGAGCTCATGAGCTTCTTCAAGCCATATTTAGCAGCAAAGTGGAGCAACGTGGGCAGCTCTTCTGTGCGCTGATCTGAAACGCAAACAGATTGTAAATTTTAATCCTGAACTAAGTGAGCGTTATTTGGAAAGCAGAAGCAGAAGAGAGTTTACTCAGGGGTAAATGTCAAAAAGCTGCTTGCATATCTGATTCTGTCCAAAATAGAGTCCGCACAACAGTTTTGTTCTCAATTCACTGCAAAACCACAAAATCCTACAAAGTACTTTTGGTGTAGTTTCTATAAACACGTTAGTACACTGGAAATAAGACAAAACTAACTTACAAATAACCTTTCAGCAAGAAATGTTAGAAACAAAATATGGGTTCATTTTATAAAGTCAGATTTTTACCATGTTATTCATAATAAATATTTAGTTTAGCATCTAAGTGTTCAGTTTGTAATAAAATATTTAGCTCCAATTTAAATATTTAATTAGATAAATATTGTGGTTACCAACTAAACATTAATATGTGCTTAACAAAGTCAACTATTTGATTAGCATGCTAAATATTGAGTTAGCAAGCTAAATATGTAGATAACCAACAATATATTTAGCTTAAAAAATAATTAGTTATCAAACTAAATATTGACTGTACAGGTCAATATTTAGATCCAAAATATTTAGTTAGCAAGCTAGAGATTGAGTTTACCAACTAAACATTTACTTCCAAACTAAGGACCCAGTCAGAGAGCTAAATATTTGGTTATTTAGCTAATTGATTATTATTTACCATGCTAACTAAACTACATATTTGGTTAGTGTGCTGATTAGTTTACCACATAAATAAAGGTACTAGTTCCACTGGTAGATTGTTTCTTTTGTAACATGGGAAAAAATCTTGTGGTGAGTGAAATTATCTGCCTGCAGAATAATTTCATGTCTTGCTGAAAAGTTCTTTGTAACCTAGTTTTGTTTTACTTCATGTCTACTGAGCTGTTTGTAGAAACTACATCAGAGGTACTTGGTGAGAGTTTGTGAAACTGTTTGCAGATTTGCTCCTAAAATAGATCAAATAGTTTCTCACTGCATCAGGACAGTTCGCTCTCGCTTAAAAGTGTGATTTTAGAGTGATATTTTACAATGATATGAAATGTCATTGCATGACATAACATATGCAGTGTTAACAAACATCGCATGAGGCTGCCTGGTTATGTTGTTGCCTTGCATCAAGAGGTCCTGGCTTCCAATCCCAACCTGGAGTCTTTCTGAATGAACTTTGCATATTCTCCCTGTGCATGCGCAGTTTCTGTCTGGCTGTTCCTCCAACTTCCTCTCACTGTCTAAAAACACGACTGCTTCTCTAAACTGACCGAATGCATCGGTGTGCATATTTGTTTATTCTGTCTCTAAGGATATGCTGGCAGACGATGGACAGACACATCATGCATGCATTTAGACCCACATCCGCTCACATGCATATATATAACTAGCTTAACACTGATTTTGTTGCAGGAGCTAAAATGGGGAGGTGAACTTTCACAAAATGAGGTTTTAAAATAATTTCTTTAAGCAACAATGATTCAAACTGAGTGTAAATGCTGCAGTTCTGGTCACTGATCCCCTCTGCTGCTGCATTCAGGGAGATAATCAACCCTGGGAATGGTGCGAGGAGGAAGTTCACAACCAGACCTTTGATAGAAACTCAACACTGGTTCTCATTTATTAACCAAAAATAACAGGATGTATTCAAGGACAACTGTGTGTCGTACATGTAATGATTCTACGATCGAACACAGCCTTATCTCAGGCACAGTTTTAATATCTTCCCAATCTCTTCATCATCTGCAGCAATAAAATCCTCTCAGCATGAACGTGATTCCTCTCTATAACAGCCAGACAATATCCTCATGACTTCTGTTACTTCTCCACTGGTTGTAAATGCAGCTGAAGAGTAAGGTGTTTTAAGCTTTACCCAATCGTTTGTAATGCACCAGTTTGACGCTTAAGTTTACCAGAAATTGGCTACACTGTTAACAACCATCTGCCACTGCAAAAAGAGAAATGCTGATCCGAGCAAGACGGCTGCCAATGTTAGCTCAGAACTGTGACGCTCAATTAGGGTCATGGTAGACGAAGAAAAAAAAGGACTGAATTATCACCAAAAATATTCAGGAATGTTGAGATTAGTCTCAGAAATTTACTTTAAAAAGTAGAAATTTTTGAGTTTGAAAAGTAAAACATTTGCAGGAAAAAATCTTCAAAAACTTTGACTGGTCAGAAATATTTTTTGACAAAAATTGGAAATTTCTGAGTTTGAAAAGTTAAAAAATTTAATTTTGAGATTAACTTTAGACATTAAAGAAAAACTTGAATACCTGAAAATTGAAAGTTTCAACAGTTTATTTAAAAAAAATTAAATTCAGATATTTCAAAGTTTTTTGTGAGAAAATTTCTAAGATTAATTTGAAAATTTATCAGTTTTTTTCTTGCAAACATTTGACTTTCAGTGCTCAGAAATTTGCAGGGTTTTTTTCTAGAATATTTTGGCGGAAACTTACTCTTTTTTTTATATATACAATGACTTTAATACCTCATCGTACTGAACGGTTTTGTTCACGTCTTTTGTTGCCATTGCTAAAACTACAAACCAAAATTATAAAACAGCACAGTAACAACTGCTCCTGTTCATTGAAATTCTAGCGCAGAAATCCAGTTCAATGGGAGAAAGCTCAGACTGAGCAGTGAAGGAAGATTAAAATCAAGCTGAATCACATAGAAAAACTGCAAAATACAAAACCTTACTAAGTATTTTTTGGTTTAGTTTCTAGTGTAGATAAATTATCACACTTGTAATAAGACAAAGCTAACTCAAAAGTCACTTTTCAGCAAGATAATTAATTTATCTTTAAGGTTCTAGTTTCTCTTGCATATTATTTGACTTATAGCAAAACATTTTTCTCATATTGTCAGTGAAACTAGTACTATTTTATAAATCTTGAACATGTATTGACCTAAAACAAGCTCCTAAATCTTGCAGAAAAGTTACTCGTAAATTAGTTTTATTATTTTAAGTGTGCTAAGATATTAGCTCTAGAAAATAGACCAAAAATGTTTGGTGAGATTTTGTGTTTTTACAGGATTGCAATTTTATTTATAAAAAATAGCTCAACATAAAATCAGAAAACTTCACTCACATGCTGACATATTGTTTTCCTCAATCTGTTTGACTCCAAACAGCTGCAGACCGGATGGAGGCATCCTGGACTTTAACGAGTCTGTTAGCAATGTGTCCACTGATTCTATTGCATTGGAGGTCAAGTTAAAGGCCTGGAAGCAAAAATCAGTTAACAAAAAACAAACAAAAAAAAGTCTAAGAATAAAAAAGCAAACAAACAGAGAAACCAGTACAGACAGGAGGAAGCAGAAGTGTATCACCTGGCAGATGAAGTTCACGGGGTCAGTAGCTTGTTTTAGATACCGGCTAACTTCTCCCAAGCTGGTGTAAAATGTGACCGGACTCAGATCGACACGTGAGCCGTCGGCGTGCAGAGTGAGCGAAGTCACTCCTGCAGGCATTTCTGTGTAGAAATGATAGAAAAAACACAAAGATAATGAGATGAAGTTTAGGAAATGCAGCAGAGAAACCGTCTTCCTGCTGATGCTCGCCTGGTGCGGCGACGCTGACGGTGAACTCGTTCTCCACCGAGGCCTGAACCCGTTTGGACGCTGCGCCTTCAGGTGAGAACTCCACCTCCACCGGCGACCCGAAACCCACTCTGCTTCTGAATACGATGAAAATCGTCTCTTGATCCTGAACAGAATAAATATTATCTATAATATTTGATGGATTAGTCTTTTTTTATCGGTTAATCAAATACTGCTATTTGATTAATTAATCTCACGATTAATCAAATATCTGTTTGATTAATCAAATATCTGTTTAATTAATCAATCTTACAGATTAATCAAATAGATGAATACTCTCGTAAATGTAGTTTGGCTCTAATACACCACTTTAAAAAAAAAAAAAAGAAAATCTTTTTAGAAAAGAAAGCAAACATAAACTCCATTAAAATCAGAAATTGGACATTTATTTTGAGCCAGTATCGCCCAGCTCTAGTTTTTATTTCTTCTTCCTCACCCCACACTGAACTCTGCTGGGCTGAACGGTCAGACATGTTGGATGCGTTGATGAGCCGATGCGTTCTCTTGCTGAATCTTCGCCGTTCGCTCGCTCTTCCTCCTTCAGGAACATTTGGCTTTGCTCCTCTGACGCCGCCTCTTCGCTGTCACCTACTGTGGGATTTTCAGAGAGAGGAGGAGAAGCCGCCGGTGCGGCGGAGATGAGCGACTCTCCTGTAGGATATTTGCTCTGAATCTCGGCCTCTGCTCGCCTGCCTTCGAACAAAACAGAAAAAAACAAACAAAACATTTTTATAGGCATAGAAGGCTTTCGATTTGGGCTGATCGATCCAAAATATTGATAATATGGCTAATAAGTTGGCATCAGATACGATAGGATCAATACTTAATTTTCCCTTTTGAAATGTTATTTTAGTTTAAATATTTTGTTTCGATTTACTTTAAAATTATAATTGCCTGCACTTCATTGCTTCAACAGTTTGTTTCTATTTTTTGTACTTTATGTGGAAAAACACAAAAATGTTCTTTGTTTTTCTATTATTTTTTAAATTAATTAGTTTTTCAGGTATTTCATAGTCGGCTATAAAATGTGTCCAAATTTTGTCCTTGTTTGGACAAAACAATTTAAAGGAAAAGTCACAAAAACACCTGGAGGTTAAAAGTTTGTTGATAAATCAAACTTAAATAATAAAAAGTTTCAGTATCAGAGATATGGGCCTGATATTTACCAAAATATAAATTAGTATTGAAATTAAATAATGTTCACTTCGTTTTACTCCTTTCACGTTTTCTCTTGACCTACTGATTACTTCTTTTCTTGTTTTTAAAAACCTGTTTGAAATAAATTAAATGAAAAATCTATTAAATAAATTTTAAAACATTTCAGTCTTGTCCATCTGTCCGTCTTAAAAAAATTTCCAGATGTTTCAAATCAAAATGTGGATAAATATTTAATTCCGGTGAAGGATTTGTTTGTTTTGGTGATGAAAGTCTGCATACTGTCAGCTATTGACTCCAAAACGGTAGAAACATAAACGCCCGGCTCGTCGTCGGCGTAGAGTTTCCTCCAACTCGGCCAGTCCTGGAAGATCTCCACGTTCAGGTCGGCCTCCGTCACGCCGCACAGCAGCGCCACCACCCTGTGTGGAGGATAGAGCAGTCTCTGCAGCGCGCCGTGCAGATCCGGGTCGTACAGGACGTCCAGGAAGAATCCCGTCAGCAGCACCACGATGCATTTGCAGCGATGGAAGTCCTCAAAGTTATATCCGTGGAGCTGATCGGCCGAGCTCACAGCGTAGAGCAACACGGAGGCCCGGCGGAAATGTTTGGAGGATTTTAGGATCTGCTGCAGGTACGCGGCCCACTCCTGGGCCTCCTCCGTGTGCAGAATCAGCAGCTCAAAGGCCGAGGAAAACTCAGAGATTGCTGCAAAACAAAGCATTGAAGCGTGTTTTCAAAATGCAACAAGATGGAAAAAAGAAAATTTCATCAGTTGGTTTAGCCTCAACCTCTTCTGATTCAAGCTACACTGCAAAAACACAAAATGTTACCAAATATTTGTTGTCCGGTTACTAATGCAAATGTCTCAGTAAACTTGAAATTAGAGCAAACTAACTTATAATTAAATTTTCAGCAATAAATAGACTCATGTTTTTGGGCAATACGTCCTTAAAATTAATGAAAAAGTGCTTGCAAAATATTTATATTTAGTTTCTTGAGAGTTAAAAATGAAGTTAGGAAAATGAAGTTTGTGACCTCCATTATTCAGAGCAAAATACATTGCTTGCTAGATCAATTTTTAGCTTGCTAACTGAATAATTATATATATATTGTGCTAACCAAATATTTAGCTTCAATGTAAATATTTAGTTGATGAACTCAATGTTTATTTTACTAAGTAAATATTTAGTTTGGAGATAAAATAAATATTTAGCATGTTATCCACATATTTAGTTTGGAGGTAAACATTTAAATATCTTATTTACTAACTAAATATTTAGTTTATAACCAAATATTTATAATAAATCAATATATTTTATTGTAATTTGGCTTTTTCTTATTTCAAGTATGTTAAGGTATTTGCACCAGAAAGTAGACCAAAAATACTCTTACATTTGGTTTTTTTGCAGTGTAACGCTAAATTTCAGACCTTGGGTACGTTATTTGCTGCAGCAGTCTGGGTAAAACGCGCTGCAGCATTCCAGCTGCTGAAAGTCAAGGTGACTGGCTGAGGGATGAATGTGTGAACTGTGAGTCAACGGCGAGTTGAGCAAACACCGGTGTGTGTCAACACAGCTCTGAGTAATTCTGTTTGACTCATTACAGTCTCTAATCGGGCAGAGTTCAGCTCAGAAACCGAACCGAGCCCTCACCTTCATCAGCGGCCGAGCGCTGCTGGCATCTGCTGCTGAGACGGCCCAAAACTCACTGAATCAGCGCTAAACGTGTGTGTGGTGGTCTCTCTTGATCATCTGCTGTATGCATTTGACCACACAGGATGTAGACGTGTTCGGTTCCTCTTTTCTAGCTAGGATGTTAATTCTCAATGAAAGGCCGACCAAATGCAAGTCAGCAAAAACGATGGCTAAAATAAACGAAAAACGAGTAAATTCTGGTAATTTCCCTGAGAAGTAAGCAGGAAGTGAGGACTTGTGATATTTGGGTATAAAAGTCTGAGGGAACGTGTAACACTCACCTGACTCAGTAATGGATGGGAGTCCTTCCATGGTTTGGGCTCAAATCTGCACAAAATCATCCCAAAAGCGTCGCCATTCCTCCCAATAGTTTCCTTTTTTCTGTCTCCACCGAAGCTCTCTTTCGCTTGTCAGCTCACACTAACCCGGCGATTACCAGCTCTGGCCCTTTGCTCAGTTGTATAAATAGCAACACTTTAGTTTCCTGATTTTGGTAGCTCTGCCCCACTTCCTGAAACAGTTGAAGAAGTGAGAAAATGCACCCTTGTCTCATCAGAAACTGCAACAATCTGCCGTCACCACAGCCTCGAGCGAGCGCCTTCATGTTACTTACATGTTTATTTAAAACAGCAGAAACAGAGAGACAGCACGTTAAATTTAGGAAGCACATGAACGGAAGACGCATCCTGCATCTTAGTAACAGGCAATATTTTAAGCCACAGTTTTTGTTTGTTCTCCATTAAAAAAAAAAAAAAAGCTCCATTAACAAACGTATCGATTCACCTGAGAACTTCTTCCTATTTTTCACTTCCTTAACAAGGTGCAGTCTGGCAGGAGACTTTCACTGTGAGATCAGAGTTCAAACTCATACTGATAATCATCAGAAAAAACAAGTGTTTTTCAGCACTTCAGAGACACTTCGCACCAAACTGGGCAGTAAAAGTTTCTTTGAACATGCAGCCATGTTGTTTCTGTGAAGCATGAGAAAGGAAGACGTGTGGGAGAAACTGTGAAGAGATGCACTGACAGGGGCTTTTTATATATATATCTATATATCTACAGATATATATATGTGTAAAGTAGACCAGAAAGTATTCAATGAAAGTATTTTTCATTGAGAAGTTGTCTAATTTCAGCTGATATTGATGATTTTAGCTTTAGCAAATGAAATCCAAAATGTATTTGTTTGGAGAATTAAGTTGTTTCATAAAACCTATACCAATGTGATTTTGCTTCCAATTTCTGGTCTTCACAATCAGGAAAAAGTAAATACTAAAACAGTTCTGTTGTAGTATTTAGTATTAGTTCTGGATTGTCTCAGCTCAGTTTTTTTAGGAAGTGTCATAATGCAATGAGTCAGAGCTTTAAAGGCCACCATACACACAAACACATAATAATTTTATTTAGCACTTCAACTTTTGCCTCTGAGAAAAAGTTTGATTTTTCTAACTAAAAATAAAATAACATGTTTTTTATTCATTTTTGACAGTAGTATTAAGTCTCATTTTGCTTTTGATCTAGCAACCATTCATTCATTCATAGCAACAAAAAAATAAAAATAAAATTTTTCTTCCATTTCTGCTTCTTTTTTATATTTTCAATAGTTAAACGTTTCAATAATATTAATATTTGAGACAATCAGCTTTAAAGATAACATTTTTTTAAAAATTGAACACACCCTGAACGTGTATCCCGAATGGCTGTGCAAACCTTGTTCTTTTTCTGGAAAGGTTTTGAGATTAATCTCAAAGTATGATACTTTATTCCTTTTTTTTTTTTTTTGCAGTTTAAAAAAAATCTATTTTTTTAAAAGAAAATATCAGATTAAATCTAAATTTCAAAATTTTTGGGTAGAAATTTATGCTTTTTTTCTATCTACAGTGGTGCAATACACCCTCGTAATGTCACACAACTGACAAAATAATGCTAAATTATGTTTTTGCTTAATTCAGAATATTATGAAAACTGTAATCCTTTATGTTGTGGAAAGGCTTGAAAATAAAAACGTTATGGATTTTTGTTTAGTGTAATGAGTAATCAGTGGAGCTCAGTTTTGGTCCCAGAATCAGGAGGAAGAGCGGACACTCACAGAATCCACGCTGCTTCAGGTCCAGTGGGACGTTTCCACAGATTTGGCGGTCCATGTCGTCTCCTGGTTCTGGTCCAGATGAGTTTGATCAAATATAAATGAGACCAGACGTCTACCTGGACATTTCACACCACTTCTTGCTTCCTGCTGCTGACGAGCTTTATAGAAATACTGATTATGTTTCCCAGCGGAGTGACAAAAGTCCAAATACCTTCTTTATGTCATCGACTGCCTTCAAAGGATTGCATCCGGCTGAATGCATCCGGAAAAGGACAGGCATTTCTTTCCGCAGAGTAAATTTATTTTGAATTTATTAAATTAACTGAACTACTGAAGTAAATTTAATTCTAATTAATTAAAATCCATTTTTGTGATAGTTTAGAGTCAAATTGTCATTTTGCTGATTTTGTTTGGAGATAAAATAACAAAAGTAAACAATGCATTAAAGTTCTGCTTAGGTTTTAGTATAATGCAAAAAATAAGGGGGGAAAAAACATTAATTTGCACCACACCAGAACAACCACTAGAGGTCAGGAGACTCCCAGTTTCTTCAGCAGCTCAGACACAGATATGTCTGTGAAGACACTGACTTTCCTTTTATAATTAATTATTTAGGGAATTCAGCAGTTTTTCTGCAATTTGTTCTCATCTGGTTTAATTAAGTTCTGGATTATTTGGAGAATAAACTCCAAATATACTAACATCTGTGGTACAGATGCAAAAACATAAATGAATAAAAATGCAAATAAGATAAAAATGCAAATAAAACTCCCACTGGAAATAAAATCAGAAAATCCCAGGTGTTAATAATCTAGTGTGAGGACATGTCTCATGGTCAGGAATATTTGGCAACAAACTATCCACTCCCCAAAAGCACCAGGGACCAAGGAAATATACTTCCCAATCAACGTTTCATTGATTTTAAATCAGCCACAAACACAAAGAACAAAAAGGGAAAAAACACCATTAAGCTAAGAGATTAAAAAGAAAACTTTTTCTTTATTTCTCAAAGTTCATATTTAACATTTGGTATCAAATTCTGGAGTAAACTCTATTTAAACTCCTTCGAGATCCACAAATGTTTCTACATGCTGCCACTAGCTCAGATTATAGCAGGTAATGAGATTAGCTACCAGATTAGCAGATGATACACCACTCTACATGATGCCACCAGTCAATGAGCAGCTTCAGTAATTTCAGCTGGAAACTAGAAATCAGGCGCAGACCTGAGTGTGGAGATGGACCTGAACTTTCAGAGTCACATAAAGACAGTTACAAAGTCAGATTTCCGCCGCCTGAAGAACATTTCCAGGATTAAAGGACTAATCTCCCAGCAAGATCTAAAGCAGGAGAGTAAACTCATTTTCATTTTGGATTATCCAAAATCTGAATGTTCTTAAAGGGCCAGTTGTGCCAGAATGCATTGATGAAAACAATTGAAGTGTTGAAACATTAATAAACAGCTGTTTACTTTTAAAATTAAAGAATACAGGATTTCATGATTGTTTTTGTGTTTATTTGCATTCAAAATCACAGATTTTGTGCTAATTTAGAAATGTTTGTAAGAAATTTGTATTGTATAATGTTTGATGTTAAATTTGTCGCTTTATTACATCAAATTGATCACGGACTACAACTTAACACTTAGTAGGCTGAGGCAGCACCAATGTTTTTGAACAAATTTGAAAAAATGTGCAATGAAATCAGAGGATTTGTTGATTTTGTGTGAATTTTGCAGATTTGTAAAAAACTGGAGGAACTAACTGATGTAATTTGGAGTTTAGAGGACCATATAAAAACCTACGGCGGGCCAGATCTGGCCCCCGGGCCTTGAGTTTGACACATGTGATCTAGAGAAGCTCATCCATGTGTTTATATTTAGTCGTATTGATTCCTGCAACTGGATCTTTACAGCCGATCCAAACGCTGCTGCTGGCGTTCCGACTAAAACCAGCAAGACAGAGCAAATCAGCCAGATTTAAAGTTCTTCACTGAGAAAATAAAATATGGCTGTTAGTTTATAAATTGCTGAACGGCTGAAACCTTGCAGATCACTCAGGTTCTGGTTCTGTTCGGCTCTGAAGAAGCAGCATTCAGTTTCTATGCACCACAAATCTAGAGAAAACTTGCAGAAATCTGTAAAACAGCTGAAACAAAGCAAAAATCCCAGCTGGTTTGATTAATAACAACAGGAGCATTGATCAATATGTCTGATTCGTATTGATTTTAATGATCCTTGACGAACTGTGATGTTTGTTGCTTGTTTTGTTTTTATTTACAGCATTTTGGACTGGAATGTGCTTTATAAATAAACTAGACTTGATAAATGTTGTATTTTTAGTCCACTATGTGGAGGCCAAGTTAAAGTATAAAATATTCAGTTACTTCTTTGTTTAATTAGTATTTCAATAAGTGAATTTGTTGAGGTTTAGGTAGCATTATTATATTGCTTGTAGCTAATTTCATGATGTTTTATTGTGAATAAGTGTTTTATGTTAAGTTTGTATGTTTTGTAGCTTAATTGGCCATTTTGCGGTTTATGTAAATGAGTTATGTAAATGAGGTGGAGCGTTAACGAAGGATCACAAGCTCAGAGGAGCCACGCGATTTTTCTACCGTAGTTTGTTTTGTGGAGGTTATCTAGGATTTAATTGCTCTTGTAAAGGATGACGCAAAAAACTGGAATAAATCTTTGTTTTGCATTTTTTACATCGGAGCGCTGTGGACGTTTATTTTTCCCTCTTCAAACACATGAGGTGAAATGAACCTTGTGGCAACACACCCTAATAGGAATATAAAGGAAACTTCTTTCTTTAAATGTTTAAATTTTTTGACAAAAGTTGGTTAAAAAGCAGAGTTTTTCCATCATTTTACCGCTCCTCTATCTGAGTTCTGTCGATAAAATGGTTGATTTTGCCCATTTCTACAACAAGGACGTCGTCCCACCTGCAGCAAATGTTCACTTTTTGACTTCTGAAGCCGCCTGTGAAGAACACGGTGATCCATGACCTGCCTTTAGGCACAATTTCCTGCAGAAAAAAGAATCCCCTAATTTCTTCTAAAGCTGCCATTAGCCACCATAAGCATGACCGGCCTGTTACCTTTAGTTTGGGCTCCCTTAAACCGTTGTCTATTAGGTGGCTCACTTCAAATCCCTGCTGCCTGGCTTTAATAAGAGCATATTTTTGCCCCTATAATTTGACCTTGTTATCCAATATCCTGTGTCTTTAGTCGTCTGTGTGTTTTGAACGGAGCGACTCGACCGGAGGCTCCTCAGAGTCAGGCCCTGGCCGGGAGAGCTGCAGTGGCTGCTAACGACAGTTAGCTGCTAACGACACTTAGCTGCTAACGACACTTAGCTGCTAACGACACTTAGCTGCTAACCACAGTTAGCTCCACGCTACAAAAATGAAAATAATTGTAGCAAGGGAATAAGGCCATATTATTGCAACTTTATTTTCATGAAATTGTTACTTTATTCTCATATTAGTATAACTTCTTATTATATTTTGACTTTATTTTTGTAAGGATAACTTGATTCTTGTAATTTTATAACCTTGAGATATGAGTAGCCATGTTATTACAACTTCACATAATATTTCGATTTCATTCTTTTATTTTTTTTATTTAATTCTTGTAAAGTTAACTTAATTCTGATAATTTTATCATTTTGATCTTTTTTATTATCATAATTTTGTGACATTGTTGAGATATTGTGACTTTATTCTCTTACTGTTGCAGCTAGTCTTATATTATTTTGACTTTATTCTTGTAATATAAACTTTATTCTTGCAATTTTGTGACAATGTTTAAATACTCTGACTTTATTCTCATATGTCTTTATTCCTGTATTTTTAACATGTTTTCTTAGTATCTCATAATACTCCATCATACATACGACTCACATACTGAGCCAACGATTCGTTTTCATTTCAATCTGCTCGGCCCACAGCCTTCGGACAGCTCAGTAATTTCCTCCACATAACATCTTATTTTGCTCATTTAATTTCGGAGCGGAAATGTTTTTGCACCTTACATTATCTCATTGTTACCCAGAGTTATAGAATCTCTTTTGTAGCTGACGGAGACATAATTACTGCAGCTGGTTTGAGCAAATTGATTTGTGCCAATTTTACAAACTGCATTTCATTTTACCTGCATCTCCAAGCCTCCTGGCAGCAAAAGGTAATTTTTAAGAAAACGCATTGATAGGGATGCGGTTTTACCCTCGGAAACTCTGAAAAATGTGTTGCTGTAAAAAAAAAAAAAAAAACATAAAAAAAATTCTCCAAAGTGAAGTTATCAAGAGGAAGCGGTGATGGAGGGAAGAGGCGTCTAATATTCCCCGCATCGC